TGGATGCAATGTCGTTTGCTCTCTGTCGGCTGTGCCGCTCACCGTGTCAAGGGAGGGAATGCAATTGTTGGCACACATGGGATGTGCGGGGGGTGGTACACAAATTTATAAACAATACACATGGACAGGGTTGGGATTCTGTCATGCATGCGACGAGTACTGTGACGCACTTGGTTTGACAAATCACCTTCACACAGACACACACACACACACACACACACACACACGTGTGTGTGTGTGTGTGTGTGTGTGTGTGTGTGTGTGTGTGTGTGCGTGGTGTGTGTGCTCGGTCATTCTCCCCATTTCCAAGTAGTGTACACAGAGGACTGGGTGTGTGTGCGTGGTGTGTGTGCTCGCTCATTCTCCCCATTTCCAAGTAGTGTACACAGAGGACTGGAAAAAAACGGTATACATGGCCGGTTTCACAAATCCCGTTTGCCATAACCCCTCCGTTGTCCGTGTCCCCTACTGTTTAAGGACAGTTATGTATCACGTCGTGTTCAGCGGATGCGGCTGTACAGGTTGTTCGTAGAAGAAGTACCCATGCCGGCACACACACACACACACACACACACACACACACTTCAACTTCCCCACGGACTCGGCTGCGGAGCACCATGCACACGAGCATGGTGACACACGTGCGTCACCAAGCTGTTTCTGATATCCTTCCCCAAATCGCTCCCTTACGTCGGATCGTTTTCCCGATCGGGTGCCTGGGGAACTTCATCACTGACGGCCACACGGCGGCACTGACGTGGCCTGCTCTCTGCGTCCGACAGGTCGTCGTCGCTGTCGTCCGACAAGTCCTCAGGGTCGATGACGACTCGTTGGTCGAGCATGATATTGTGGCGAATGCAAATCGCCATGAACTCCTTGCACAAGGTCTTCATGTTGCAGATTTGTCGCCGTATAAAGTGCCTCCACACCACCTTCAGCCTCCTGAACGTGCGCTCGATACAAGACCTAGCAGATGTATGGCAGTCGTTATACATCCGCTGCTGCTCCGTCCACATGCCTCGCCAACCAGGGATCATTATCCATGGGAGCAGCGGATACCCCGCATCGCCAAGCAAGTAGCGGCCAACAGTCCTCCCGTCTCTCAACACGACGGATCCTGTACCGAATACACCCCTACCTTTGCGCGCCATAGCGTACAGGGGAGACAGTCGAAGCATGCGAGAGTTGTGTAGCGACCCGGGACATCCGAAGTAAACGCTGGAGATGCGGCATTCGTGGTCGCACATGACCTGCGCTTGGACAGAGAATTGTCCAGTGCGGTCGTAGTAGCATTCGGCCCTCTCCCCCTTTGGCTTCTCAATGTAGATATGGGTGCCGTCAATAGCACCCACACAGCCAGGGAACCCCTTCCGCTCGAAGGCGTCCAGTACTTCCTGCAGCCTTCTTCCCGTAGGGAAGGAGACGAGATGGCCGTACTCCTTGATGAGTGCAGCAGCCACCTCTTCGTTACTCCGAAGGGCACTGCAGAGACCCAAGCCCAGCCCATGGGCGGTCTGCCTGTAGAAGCCGCCGGTCGCCCACCGGATTAGAGCGCAAGCCAACTTCTGTCCCGCCGGCACAGACTGCCTCCAGTTGGTCGTCTGGCATTGTATATGGGGGGCAATGCGGAGCAGTATCTCGTTGAAAAGTGGGCGAGGCAGTCTGCAAAACCGTCTGAAGACCTTATCATGCTGCGCTCCGACCCTCTNATGGGGGGCAATGCGGAGCAGTATCTCGTTGAAAAGTGGGCGAGGCAGTCTGCAAAACCGTCTGAAGACCTTATCATGCTGCGCTCCGACCCTCTCCAGATCCTTCCACAAACCCTTGCTCCGCTCCACCCCCCACAGCCTCCGCCGCCCATCCACTCGCCTGCCCAAATCCCCAATAACATCTGCCGCCAGCGACATGCTGTGCAACACAGCACCAGCGAGAAGCAACAGTGCGCTGCACATCGGCGGTTCGCACGTGCGGACAGTTGAAGCAGCCTGAATCATGGCCATGGCTGCGGCATTCCTCCTGTTCAACCACTGCATGAGGATGAACTCCAACGACAAGGGTGCCCCATCCCCATCGTCTGAGGTGGAATACGGCGTCCGGGAATCCATCACACGTCACTGTCAACACCCTCTCCCCTGCACGTCAGTGCCTTGCATGTCTGATCTGCTTGCTTCGATGCCAATGAACGGGGAAAGGGAGATTGCTTCTTTTGCTGGCGATGGAGAAATTCTACCACTACATCTCTTTCATGAAGAGCAGCAATGCCCGGGCGAAATCCGTTTGTAGATGTGGTCTGACAGGGCAGACGGTAGGCAGTGTTTGGATACACATGAAAAAATACGTTTCGAACTCCTACCTCAAAGGCAACCCCCCCCCAAACACCCCCCCGCCCCGCACCCACCACGACAGGGCCCCAACGGACGACGTCGACCATCGGCACGAACCGTTGGCGTCCAGGCACCTCCCACACAAGGATCAACGGTACACTCCAGGTACGCATGGTCGCACCGTTCGCACAGGTGCCGCACGCCGCCACCCGCACCTCCCGAGTCGGACATCGCGGGCGCCCGTACCACCCCAACGGACTTCGCTGGTCCACAGTGACGGCACGAGCTTGGAAAAGTCTGGAAGAAATCGCTTTTCCAGGCCTTTTCCAGCCTCTTTGGTGGGGTCCCATCTTTTCACCTGCAGAATCTTCCAAATGCCCTTTCCACGATTTCCAAAATAACGCACTTTTCGAAGGTTTTTCCAGTGGGGTCCAGCCCTTAGGGCCAGATCCCACTGGCAAGGAGGATTGGAATAAGTGGCTGAATCTGGACGTGTTCCACAGAGAGATGCAGAAAAGAAGATCAATCACAACTTTTTGCACTTCTCCACAAACACGTCCAGATTCAGAGTCTTATTCCAATCCTCTTTGCCCACGATGATAAGAGCACCAACGGGCTCGAGGCTTCTTTTAGATGACTCCTGTCCATTGGTGGGGAGCTTCACCTGCTGGAAAACGGGTCCAGCTTCGCTTGGACACTGAGGCTCTGAACTACAAGATCTCTCAGTGGAAGTCTGATCCTACAGTGGAAAGTGCATCGAAAGCGCACAAATATATACTTGACTGTTGACAGGGCTACTGTACTTATTGAAAATCTGTAGCATCNAAGTCTGATCCTACAGTGGAAAGTGCATCGAAAGCGCACAAATATATACTTGACTGTTGACAGGGCTACTGTACTTATTGAAAATCTGTAGCATCCAGGGGAATGGGTGAGTCTGTTGCCTCCTCCCRTAGATGCTTGGAGATAACCAAACAGCCTTGCGCAGTAAAGGATACCCACTTAAAGGGGGTACTCCAGCTAGACAGCATTTTACCCCTGGCTATTGCAATATTGATATAGCTAGTATTAGTGTGGAGTCTCCTCCATTCTGCACAAATAAGATTACGTATTGCATATTTAAATTTGTTACGGAGAACAGAGGGAGACCAAAACTTATTTTGGAATCTTCTCTCTCTCCTTGCAAGCCAACGAATCCAAAATCCCAAAACTCTGAACTTGTTAGCGATGGTAAGAGCCTGGGTCTGACCCCAGCCCCCCAACATATTGAATTCCTTAGTCCATATCGTCCGCGGTCCATAGGCAAAATGCAGCATACTGCTGATCCAATCCCAGAACTCGGTTTTTTTCTTTTTTTCTTTTTCTTTTGTTTGTTTGTTAAATGTGGCCCGATGGACCACGGATCAGATATTGGGCCTCGGTGCACTACACTTGAATCTTGAAGAATCAAGTGTATGGCACCGCCGCACTTAGGGCCTCGCCACACCACTCTTGAAACGGGGAAATATGTCAACAGCTGTCAGGCGTTCTCAAGAGTAGGGTTTTCAAGAGTTTTCGGCCCCTCTCCACACAGCACTCTTGAAAGGGCCATGCCGTTGGACACAGGATGAAAAACGACAGTCATACAACTTTGTTTTTTTCGCATGGCGTCAGGATAACGGCCTGACAACTCTTCAAAATGAAAATCGATACTCCCTCAAGGGTTCGGCCAAGGACGCTTGAAATCGCACGAGTTGCAGGCTCTGGCTGGGGTTTCCAATCTYTCGAGAGCTGCTCRTGAAAGGGTTTCAAGAGGCTGCCACTCTGACAGCTCTTGACTGCCCCGAGTGTCAAGAGGCTGTGTGGCGATGCAGCAACTCTTGAAAAAGAGTTTTCAAGAGTAGTGTGGTGAGGCCCTTACACTCGAAAAAAAAGCTGGGAAACAGCTTCAAGAGCTGTCAGATCAGTGCCAGATTCTTCAAGAGCGAGTCATAGCTGCACTCACTCTTGACGGATGCTCTTGAATTTATTTTTCAAGAGGTGTCAGAAGGCCCGATCTGACAGCTCTTGACGTGTTCAAGTGTGCCTGCCTTCAAGGGTGGTTTTTTTCAAGGGTGGTCTGCCCGACCCTTCACGAGCTCTTCAAGAGCGGGCCTCCAGTCTGGGCGGACAAAGCAGCTTTGCACCTTCGTGTAGCATTCAAGACTGGAAAAGAAATAAATAAATCAAAAATCAAAAATTCTTCAAGACTCGTAGGGCCGTCGAGAGTCACTGCAGCTACGATGGCTATTGTGAGCATTTCTCTTGTCTGGGAGCTCTTTTTTTTTTCTTTTTTTTTTTTTTGAGCTCTTGATCTACGCTTGAACTTTTTTGCGAGTCAAGCGTAGTAGTCCAGCGAGGTCCATTAAACTGATCAGAACAGATACTATACTTGATCTTAGCCAAAAGGCCGAGAAAGGTATTAGAAGTTAGAACTGTTTTTTTTAACTCTACTGAAGCTACCCCCTATGTGGGGAATATATCAGGAAATCCAGTAGAGGGCCGGGGATCCCTCTACGCGTTTTAGCTTCTKATGACCCTACCCTAAGGGCGACATCCCGCTGGCAAAGAGGATTGTAGTAAGTGTCTGAATGTGGACGTGTTGGAGGTCAGGTGCGAAAAATTATGGTTGAACGTCCAGATTCAGACACTTATTCCAATCCTCTTTGCCAGTGGGATCTGGCCCTAACCTTTATCCTCTTGTGCACCTGTCCTTCCCCTGACTGCCACCCTGTCCTTACTGTCTCTGCTGCATGATTGCAAAAACAAAAAACWGTGTCCTACAGCTCACACTCSAAAGAGGACAGCCTGATTGTGTGAGGCGGTGGCTTTTGTTTGAATTTTGGRCCTCGCCACACCACTATCGAAAATGCGATTTTCGATAGTTTCTCTTTGCCACACACTCTGTCGAATTSGGAGACGGGAAGAAAATCCGCCGCAWGTTGTCAGAGAATGCTTCTCGACATCTCCTGTCTGTCAAAAGTTGTTGAATCCCCACCCAGCCTCCTGCTACTCTGATGCTTTTGACAGTCCTCGGCTGCACCATAGACTTCTCTTCGAAATTTGGTGAGGGGGGGGTAAGGTCGGAATGGACTAATGCTTGTCGTACCCTCAGGCGCGTTCGTCTTTTTCCATCCTTCTTTCACAAGTGCGTCCACTCTACAGTGCTGTGCGGCTAAAGGGGGGCAAACTGTCGAAGGGAGGCTGTCAAATTTGTTCTGAAAGCCGTCAAAGTTTTTTGCCTTTAGACAGTGGTGTGGCGAGGCCCTTTCTCCCTCCCTTCGCCTTGCAGGAAAGGGGACTCCGAGGGCCAAGTCCCAGTCACGCTGATCCTTGATTTCTGGTCGTTGATGTTCCGAATCTGCAGTCAGAAATCGATCATTCGGGTAAGTGGGACTTGGCCCCTACTGTCTTCTCCGTGATAGAAGACATGCATTGGCCGTTATAGCTGCATTTAGTCCAAGTTTTAGATCAAATACAGCGTTTTTTGTTTCTTCCCGCTCCGCCCCCCCCCCCCAAAAAAAAAACATGCGGAGCACCTCCCAGTAGTACCCCTGGCACGTGGCTCCTGTCTATTGGTGGGGAGCATCACCTGCTTGAAAACGTGTCCCACAGAGGGCTGTTGTTATCACCCCCTGCGATACCCTTCAAGGATGTTAAGAAAAGAGGGGTAACTTCGGCGCAGTCACGAAAACAGTTTGAAAATGCACTTCAGGCAATCTCGGGAACAATCACACACCCACGTGACCCCACCGACCCGAAACCTAGGTTATATACATTCACCATTAGCGGCCTTTTTGYCTCAAGTGCATTTTCAAACTCAAACCCCGGGGGCCGCGCAAAATGTGCGCTGCGCTAGTGGCGGTGGCGGCGCCCGGTCGTCGGCRGCTGCTGAGTAGGATGCCACGTCGGGGCATGTGGACGCTGATCTTTTCTCGAGGCGCCTACCCTGCCGGGCACCAAAGCTGTGTGAGAGCTATGGCGACAGTGCCCTGGCATAGCCTAGCCCTTGAGTGGGTAGGGAGTGCCTTGCACTTTTACGCCATGGCATCCTGACAGCTCCACACTCTACACCAGAGCTCTATACCAACTTTTATACCTAACAGGATCTAGACACCAGAGGAGCCGTCCTCCCCTCAGGCCGTTTGCTGGTAAGGGGGGGGCTCCTTTTCACCATCCAAAGGCCGTGCGCTGTACATTCATGACTCGCTATCTCGACTGCCTCGGTCATTAGGAAAGTATGGAAGGCAGAGCGACGCATCTGGACGCAGTGGGAGAGCGTGCGGCTGCGGTGGCATCACTTCGGCATGTCCAAGGGCTACAGCAAGTCTCGGTTGACCTATCTACGTCCCAAGGCAGTTTGATGTTCATTTACCTCATGCTCTGTTTTATTCACTTAAATTGGTCGTTGTTTTCGTCCCCTACGGTCTGCTTAGTTTTCCGTTCCCGGTTACTGGTGTAGTTTGAAGGCCTTTGTATCGAGTTCATAGTACCTAGGATAGATTCATTGTAAACTATTCTATCTGTGGCTCGTAGATTTATGTTTTAGGTACTTGGTTCTCGTATTTCGCTAAGGATTGTATGGAGGATGGACTCTAGGTGATGGCCTTTCTTCTGTTATTCCGAGTTGGTTTTTTCTTGTAGTGTTTTCTATTAGTCTATTAAAATGGGGTTTGATGTTCGCTTAATTTCTTAGCTTTTTAGTAACTGCTGGAGTAAATTCCTCAGGGTGGCACGCTCTGTGACGAACTATTTTCTGCGCGAAGCTATTTCGGGGGTTGGAAACTGGTTGGTCGGGTGAAAGATGAAGGGTGGGCCGGACAAGTTGTATGGATATTCTCTCTTCTTTCTTTCTTTGCTTTCAGGACTAGAGCAGGGAGAGCCCTTCGACGACGATTGAGTGACCGCGCCTTAGTGAGCGCGATAAATAGCGGTTGCCATAACTTCTTTCTTGTTCTGCTGTGGGAGATAGGAATTTTGGTGCAATTAGCGCGCAGGAATGTCATTTTCAAATTGACAACGGATGACGGACTCTTGAAATTGTTT